TTTTTTTTAGTACTTGAGGTTGAACCCAGGGCCTTCACACAGCCTCTTTATTATTATTATTATTGTTGTTGTTGTTATTGTTATTGTTGTTATTATTAGTATTATTTTGAGACAGGTCTTGCAAAGTTGCCTAGGCTAGGCTCCAACTTGATATCCTCCTGCCTCAGCCTCCCAAAGTTATTAACTTCTGATGTGATCTTTACAACATTTCAGTTCCCAGAGGGATATGAATTGTTAGAGTTCTTCATTATGCTTCACTTGTTTACACATCTATTTGTCCACTTGTGTGGTATTCTATCATTCTGTAATATATTTTAATGATCTACTAAGCAAATTTCCTTTACACTTCATTAAAACTGACTTGATCAAATGCACAAGGGATTCTACTTTTTATAGTTTTTCTCACAAATATACTTGAATGAAGCAAAGTCACGTATATGAAAATTTATTCATCACAAGGTTGATAATGGCCGAGATGAAAAAAACTCAAACTTCCAAAAAAAAAAAAAAAAAAAAAAGCTAATTTGATTACGGTACAAATAGTAGGACAGTATGTCATTGTAAAAACAATGTAATGTGAAAGCTCTCCATACTGATATATAAAGATTTCTAAGGTGTATTATTCTGGTTGGGGGGGGGTACCAGAAATCAAACTCAGGGCCTTGTCCTTGCTGGGCAGGCATTTATGCTGCTGAGCTATATACCCTAAGGTGTATTATTAAGTGAAAACAGCCAAGTACAGAATAGTCTACATAATAATCTACTTTTATGAAAGGGATCAGGGGGACAAAAATCCACATTCATATGCATTTGTATACATATAAAAGCACTCTACAGGGACAGCAGCTGTTTCTTTGGGGACGGTCAGGGATCCCAGGTAGATGGGAGACAAAGATGGGAAGGAAGCATTTTACAATCACCCTTTTGACATGTTTGCTTTGGAAACCCATGAATGTACAACTTATTCAAAAAGTACCCTGGCCCAGGGGTACAGCTCTTGCCTAGTATGAAAAGCAAAAACAAAACAAAACAAAAAACCCAAAGTAAGGAAAACATTGACTCACATCTTTAGGAAAGAACATATTCTCCCACATAAGATTTAAAATAAAGTTTTGGATCAACTTAAAAACAAAACAGAGCCAACCCTAGCTAGAATTTAGATGGTATAAAACCCTTCACTCTCTACTCTTCTGCTATTGCTTCAAATGTCAAGAATCAGAGAGCCGAGGGCAAGACGTTGGTTGGGCTGTAACAGGACGGGAAATAATTAAGATATTGGGAGAAAATCTCCAAGTTGTTTATAGCTGTTAATTTTATTCATTTATTGTGGTACTAAGAATTGAACCCAGAGCCTCCTCCAGTTAGCTACAGCCTTAGCTTTTTTTAAAGTTTGAGGCAGGGTCTTGCTTGTTTGATTTTGAATTTGTGTTCCTCCTGCCTCAGCCTCCCAGAATTCTGGGATTTCAGGCACGCCCCACCACGCATGGGTTCTATTCCGCTTCTTCATGCTTGTTTTATTAAGGAATTGCCTCTCTGGGGAACAAGGAAAACAAAGGATGTAATGTAAATCTATCCCCAAGCCGCGGCAACTTGAGGCAAAGTCTCCTCACCCACCTGGTGGCAGGTCGTCTTAACTGCAGGTTGAGCACTTCAGAGACACTGTCTGTCTTGAGTCCATCCATCTGAAACCTAGCAGTAGGGCATGCTTTGAAAACTCATTTGCTCTGTTTATTTTCCTAAACATCCTTCCCACTTCTTGTCCCCAAGGATTAAAAGATTCCAAATTAGTACCGTCAGTCAAAAAGTAATGAGATTTTCCATTAATAGGCCTCAGACTAAAATCATGGAAAATCCACTAATTACAGACTTGGATCCAGGCCTCCAGGCCGAGGGTGAGGGAGGAGGTGAGAGGGTCCTGGATGCAACCTGTGCTGGACTGTCCTTCCTTCCTGTGCCACTGCCCTTTCTGAGGGCCTGGAGGCCTCGGCACCCAGGGCTTCCTGCAGCTGGGCTCCTATCCCAGTTTAGGCTGAATGAGGCCCCACAGCGAGAGCTGTGTAACCTAAATTCCTGGAAACTCCAAAATAAGGCCCAGAGTGGATGTGAGGGGCATGTTTTCCGTCTAGTTCTGGGAAGCAGTTTGGAGGGTGGCGCCGGGAGAAGGGAGAAGGGTAGAAAAGACAGACAGAATGCCCATTATACCCAAGCCTGTCAGTTTCCTTTTTACATCTCTTTATCAGTGTTTGTGACTGAGCTTCTTATCAACAGGAAACGCCTGCTTGAGGGGATGAAGCAAGTCCAGGAGGACCAGGAATTCTGGGTAGTGTGTGGTGGGTGGGTAGCCTGGCCGAACGGCCTTGGAAATCCCAGGAGCCAGGTTCTTTGCCTTGGCATCTGATGAATCCTTCAGTGCACAGCAGAGAAAAGGTCTCTCTCCACAGAAAGATACCACACTAAATTGGCCCCAGAGCCAGAGGACTTGCTTGAGGGAGCCTGAAGAGGCCCTAGCTCTAACCCTCTGTGGCCAAGGACACGTAGCCAAACAACTCCTGCTATAAACTGGGGAGGATTGTCTTTCTCCCTCATCTTCACCAGACAAAATACCTGCCAAGATCACACACAACCTAGTGACAGTCATCCCAACTGGCCCACCAGCATGGGGACAATCGGGTGCTTTGCAGCCTTACTGTATGCAGGAAAGAAAGGGGACTGTAACAACAACTGAATTCTTCCTATGTGTCAGATGCCTTACAAATATTGATCATCAAACAACAATTCTGATGGCTCAGATGTGTCTCCTAGGAGAGTGGCAGATGGAAAAATCAGCTTTCTTAGGAGGTAAAGATCAAATCTGAGTATTGCATTTAAATGCCCATAAGGGATATTTTGGCCAAGCAAGGCTTTCTGGGTGGCTGAGAAGCACAGGCCTATCTATCCAGACATCTTCCTTCAAACTGGCAGAAGATTGAATAGCAGGTACGGGAACTGGTAGTAGAAGAGACAGGAAAGGAGATGGGCTACCTGGTTTTCTGCCGCTTTCCTTCTGCCCAAGGGTTGCTCTTGAGCAATTAGACTCTGCTTTTAGTGATGGTGGTGACAGAGGAGATTCTAGTGTGTCTCTTGCCCTGCTGTGTCTCCCTGGACAACCCCGTTCTTTCCCACCTCACCATTTGCTCCTGCAGCTTAGGATATAGGTCATTAAGAGTGGGTGGGTGAGAAAGAACAGAACAGAGACTCATCCAGACATGACACCCCGCAGGGCAGCAGTGACAACACTTGAACCTGAAAACTGCCTGAAAATAGACTGTGTCTATGACATTATGCAAATCATATGCAAAGTCAAGAAGCCCTCTGTCTCTATTTCTAGCAAACTGAATGTGGCCCTGGTGGAAGCAGCTCATTCCAAGAGTCGCCCACCCAGAGTGATGATCACACAGCTAGCATCAGTCCTAGCCCTGGTATACTGGACTTGGGATGTGCACTCCACTCCACCCCTCGGGTGGGCCTTGTAGATGTGAGCACTTTGCTGGCTTTTGGACAGTTGATTTGCACACCAGGGAGGATATGGAGGAAATGGAGCACTCTCCTGGAAGGCTAGTTTGGGGAGCAAGAGAGGATGGTACCTGGGAAGGTGGCGAGGAGGACTGTCCCTGAGGGCTGAGGAAGGGGTGGGCTTCAGCATGGAGGTTTATTTTATTTTTTATTTTATTAGTACATGAAGTTTAAATTCATCTTGGAGAGTAGGTGCATGTACATGACACAGCTTGTTGCTTTTCTTAAACTCCTTCCCACCCAAGCACCAAGGTTTATGCTTTAGGGGCCATCTTTCTCCCACTTTGGCAAGGTAACAGCACCCATGACCCTCCAGGAGGCCCTGATCACACAGATGATTCTCTCCTTCCTCCTATACAGACAGGCAAGTTGGAGCTTGGGATCGCCCAGGAAATTAGGGCAAAGCTGCCAAGAAGCCAAAGGAGCAGCAGATTTCTTGGGGACCTATACAGAGAAGGGGCTCAGGTACATGATCTTCCCAAGGGCTCTGCTGACCTGGTAGAGCAACGGACCAATTCTGCTTTCCCAGATCCTGCCCAGCCCTCGTGGAACTCTGGCTCTGCAATTTTCTTACGGCCTTTTCCTGACTCTCCAACCACAGCGTGACTGTCAGGGCGCAAACAGGACCAGATTGGTAGGCACAGGGGCAGGAAGAGGCTGCCTTTGTGAGATGCTAGAAACATCCCTATTAATATCCTTAAAGCTGGTCAAAGAGTCCTTTGGAAAACTCTGTCTGTGATCCTAGTGCAGAAGACCCCACAGACATGGGTTGACCTGGAGCTCCAGGAGGTCACCAACAGTCTTCCCTGGTAGAAGGAATTGGGGTGCCATTTCCCTAAGAGGGCGTCTAATACAAAGGCACAGATTTCCTAGGCTTGGCTGCCACCTGACAAGACCTCTTCCTGTTTTTTTTTTCAGTACCTGCCTCCCCTTGGTCCCTCCCGCCTCAATTTCAGGTTGGTGTGGTGCGAGGGATTCGAGGTGCTTCCTGAGTCTAAGGTGGGTCCTCTGGGGTGTGCACTGACTCCTGTTTGAGGAGGGAATTTAGGAGAAGGGCCCAACCTGCCTCTGAGTATGGACTCAGTTTCTTGCTAGATGCAGTGTTGGAGAGGAGAGTCCCTGCAAACCCGAAGGCCAACAGGGGGCACCTCGGCAACTGGCGCGCAGGGTTGCGGCGGAGGTCCCCAGCCTGCCGCGAGAGGCGGCCAGCAGGAAAGCGGCCACTGAGCGGCCAGCAGAGGGCGATATGGCAGGCGCCGAGATCCGGCTGTTTCCAGGAGAGGATGGAACCGACAGTGAGCCCTCGCTGGGGGACTTGGTAGGTGCCTTTGAGACCGCAGTGCAGGGGGTGTACCTGGGACCCTCGCTGCCCTGTCCCTCCTGTTCCCTCTGGATCACTGCCTGCTGGTTACTGTAGAGGCACGTGTTTGGAAAGACTCCGCAGGGGCTCAGGGTTCAACTTTGGTTTATTGAGGACACAGTATGTGGTAGGCATGGGCTAAATGCTCCCGCAAACAGTTATCTTCGGGTAAGAACAGAGTAATTTGCATCTTGGAAACCTCCTGCGGTAGCACAGAAGCATTTGCAGACTGCTCTCCTCAGCGGCTTCCCTCCACCCTCCTCTGTCATTCCTCCTCCTCACTAGACCTTCTCCACTTAGGGATTTTCCAGTCTTCGGGAAGCTGCTACCTGAAGTTTCTGCCTGCCGAGTCTCAGAACTGCTTTGCCCCCAAATCCAATGGAGATTAAAATCCTTTAGGCTGGAACCTTGATTCCTGATAGGGTGGGTTCTAGAAGTCAGAGAAACTGCAAACTTTGTCCCAGTAATCCTGGAACTCAGTGCAGCATGTTGCTTTCCGTTTTCATCCAGTTTCGCTTCCTGGTTCTCTTCTGGGCCTTGCACAATGCTGAGAGACAGGCCTGGGAAAGTTCTGAGACGGTGGTGGAAGACACACCAGAAGACCGCCTGGGGAGGCTGTATGTGTGGGAGGGGCATGAGCTTTCTTTTCTGCCCTCAAAGGCTGAGGGCTGGTAGGACACTTCTTCCCAAGCTTACAGCTGTCCTTGTCCTTAGCCTGAGCCCCACCACTGTCCCAAGTGCTGCCTCCAACTCACCTCCCTCCAGCCCTCCAGCCACCCTACCAAGACCCAGGGTTACCTGTCAGTACATGCACAATACCCTGGACATATCCAAATACTAGATTTTCTGTGTGTTTTTCTAGGGTCACCATGTTCTGAGACACTCTCTGGGGCTTGACCAAAGTTGTGGGCCAGAGTCAGGACCAGGGTCCACGGGGAGCAGAAACCTGGGTACTGTAGGCTTCTTGGCTGGAGCTGAGTTTCTTTTGTGCCTTGGAGACTCAGAGAAGTGACCTCCAGCCTCAGAAGGGCCAGCACTGCATGAGCCAAGAAAGGCCACTGGCATGGCTTCAGGCAAAAATTAGACTAGGAAGCGCTTTCAATGTCCTAGACTCCAATACAGCTCTTTTCAGACCCTGTCTTGAGGCATACTGCTAGGGGCCAGGGCATAGGACCAGGTGAAACTGGTGAACTTAGGTCACACAGGCTGATGACGTTCAAAGCAAATCAGAGTTGGAGAGGCCTCAAAGGATGTCAGGTCCAAATCCTGCAGTATATCAATGAAAAGACAAACATTCTGAAATGAAAGATCCCACTGTGGTGGCATGGAACCAGCACAGAGCAAGGACTAAAGCCCAGGTCTCCTCACTCCCACTCCAGCTTACCCTTCCCCTCCCCTCCGCATGTCCTTTCAATTATTCTGAAAGTTCCAGGCCCTATCCTATTTGACCTGTCACCTCTCCACTGCCACACCTTCAGCAGAACCCCAAGAGTTTCAATGGCCTAGCAAGGCAGCCAGGATGGTGAAGGAAAGGGCACAGCACAGTCAGGCCCCAGCTCTTCTAGGCAGCTGGTATTTGGCTAGCTGCGGTCTTGTCAGGGACACCGAAAGCTGAGATATAAGGCCAGGGAGAGGGGCCCTGGGTACATGAAGCTTGTCCCAGGGCAGTGTCTGCTGAACGTTGGGCAGGGCCCTACGCCACCCTGGCAGCTCTAGCCAGGTAGTGGGGTTGATCAAGGGCAGGGGAAAGTGTTGTCCTAGGCTCTGGGCCCAGACTAGGATTCCCTGGTTTGGCCCTCCTCTGGCTCTGTGTCCTGCCTTGGAAGTGGTAGGGGGTACAGCCTACTGGCATGGGGGTGGGGAGAGAGCCTGGCGTCAGGGAGCCGGCCACTTTGGGCAGGCCAGAGAGAAAGGGGATCAGATTTCATCCCAGCTGTATTTTTGGCTGGATGGGCTAGGGGCCCAGCTAGGCAGGCACAGCTGCCCCACAGGAGGGCATCCCCTCCCCAACACACCCATACACACTACCTCTACCCAGATAGGCCACCATCTCTGCTGCCTCACCCTGCAGGCAGAGGGAGTGCAGGAGTCCTGGGCTAGTGAATCACTTTGGGCTTCTCTGAGCCTTGGATGAGTTTCTGTAGGGTCTTCTTGATGCGAAGCGCAGTGAGGCGGGCAGAGGGGTTAGGGTACCAGCATTCCTGCATCATCTGAGCCAGGCCTGAGAGGACCTGGGGGTTGGAAGAGGGGCAGAGGAGAGAAAGCAGGAACATGAGTCCGGGAAGATAGAAAAGAGACAGTGAAAAAGGACAGGAAGAAAGTGATGAGAGTGGTGCACAGCGGGCAAGAAGAAAGGCAAACAGTGAGGGGGGAATGGAGGGACCCAGGCAAGGATGAGGAGAGGAGGAAGGGGAGTGGAGTGGAATGAGAAAGGAGGTAGGGTAAGGCCGAAAGCATGCTCAGGTCTTCAGGAGCCTCAGGGCCGCTGGGTAAACAGCACCTGTGATATACCTGATCCCACCCCACCTCCTGTGGGACCCACAGTGAAGGGTAGCTCTGCAAACCTTTGGGCTCCTGAGTGCCTATCTGCAGCTTGAGGCCCTGGTCCATGAAGCAGTGACTCCCAGCCTTTGCATCAGCCAGGGCTGGGCCCAGTGGATGGTGGAAGTATATGTGGTGGGCACTGCCCTAAAAATGCCTGTGTCCAGAGAGGATCCCACCCCAGGAAGCTCAGTGGTTTTGAAATGAGAGAGTCCTACCTCCTCTAGTTTCTGAGAATATTTATATGTACAGAGAAATGTATCTATGTGACTTTTTGTGGGTATATATTGTGCAAAAATGTATATGTGTTTATGTATACATATATGTGTATTTGGCAATTCCTTCAGTAAACATTTACTGAGCATGTATTGCATACCAAGCACTGTGAGAAGTAACAGGGACATAAAGAGTGAGCAAAAGAGCCATGCTTTTTGTCCTCCTGGGGCTAAGACTCTGGCATATTTGTGAATGTATTTGTGTCTGAGAATATGTCTTTAGAAGCATACTCATGCCTGTATGTATTTATATGTACATGTGTATGTCTTCATATAAGTATGGAGAGAATTTTTAAAAGAAAAAGACAACTGATAGCTGAGACTCCAAGCAAGAAATGGGCAGAGACCCTCTGACTGAATAGGCAAGGTGAATGGCTCTGAAAATGTCAGACTGATCAGAGGATTCTAAGGAGGTAGAATCCACATACCAGAGTATCTGGAATCTATCCAAGAAGCAGAGGCCTAGGACACAAGTTCCAGGACCGAGAAATCCAAAATGTGAGCCCCACCCCACTCTACGCCATCCCTTCCCTAGTCTCAACCATAGCCCAGTAGAAGTCTCACCGGGTCTACAGCCAGCCGGTTGGGGATGGTGGGAGTTTGCTGGTCAATACACACCACTTTCTTCATGTCCTCGAAGCTGGGGTCATTGGGCACCACATCATAGAAAGGTGGCCTATAGTCCTCCACAATACCTGGAAATTGAGAGAGGATGAAATAATCCCTTGGGACCTGAGGAGACCACATATTATCCAGAGGACAGCTTTGCCCAGCCTCTGTCTTTTCCCTAGAAAATTACTTGTCGAGGGAAGCTACCTGTGAAAAGGACATTATAATAAAAATACTGTTAGTAACTACTACCTTTGTCTTACACTTTCTATGAGTCTGTCATTGTGCTATAAACACTTTATGTGCATTGCCCTGTTAGTCCTCACAAGAACCCTGTGGAATGGGTACTATTATAACCTCCATGTTGGAGACCACAAAACTGATGCTCAGAGAAGCTGAATCCAAAGTTACACAGCTAGGATGGCACAGTCAAGGCTCCAGCTTATGTTGCTGGATTCCTATGCTAGCTCTTCTTCTAGTCTTTCCCTAGGTGACTTCTACCCATGCTCAGATACTACTCCCTACCTCTATCACTGACGTCCCATAACAGGTAATCTTTACCAAAGACCCACTGTGCCCTAAAGACTCTGCATTAAAACCTCCCAACAGCCAAAAGAGGTGCGCAATGCTCTTAGCTCTATTTTATAAGCCTAGAAATAATGGCCAGTGAATTTCAAGAGTTTGTACAACACGTAGTAAATGACAGGATTTAATCCTAAAAATCTAATACCAAAGCCCTGCTTCCAGGCTCCAAGCTCCATTTAAGGGAGGGCAGCTAATTGATTGCTGGACCAGGACTGCAATAAGGACAAGAAGACACCTCTCCAAAGCGAAGGCAATTTTTATCCTGGCCCAAATCACACCCATCAGGGAAGACCTGGGCCTCCACTGCCAGCGGCACCCCAGCCTGGCCCATTCAACCCAAACGGGAGTCCTCAGGAGCTTTCTAAAAACCACCTGTGGAGCCACTGCAGCCCTAAGCCAGTCCTGCTTGCCAGCCCTAGGCTGGGGGCTGAAGCCACACAGGCCACAACCTCGGTGGAGACTTCGCCAGCTGCGCTCCCCATGGCAGGCTTCCAAGCCGCCCCTGTGCAGCTCGTCCCTAATCAGTGCTGCGCAGAGGCTTGAGCGTGTCTAATGAGCCTTTAATCAGTGCCGGGGCTGACACCAGATTACAGTGTTTATAATGCGCTTCGAATCTGTGTGGGGTGACAGAACTTCCCTCTCGGCCCAGCAGCCTCCTTCCCAGCCCTTCCTCTTCGGCTTTCAGTCTTGGCCTGGAGGCTGTGGCTGTGTCTTTGTGCCCCCTCCTACCACTCCAGTCTGCTCCAGCCCACTCTGCCTATGCAGGCCCAGGATTGGTGGGCCTTGGGGAGTCTCCCCCAGAAACTGGTGACATCCTGATCTCTGCTCTCAGGGCATGATCACTAGGGCAAATGAAGACTGGCAAGAGGTTGGCAACTGGTAGATGCTCAAAGATAAAAACATTCCTGTTCTGAAAGAGGAGGGCTCCAGGCAGGTCCTGAAGATGGTCCTCAACCTGTCAGGACCGCTGGCAGCTCCTGGCCATGGACAGCCTCCACAGAGGCTAACAATGCTCCCACCTCTACAGACAGCCTGTCATCTTCCATCCACTCCAGGTCCAGACAGGGCTGCCTGGGGCAGGACTCTCCACTTGCACCCAGCCCCTCAGAATCAGAGTTCCCTGTGGTAATCCACAGTCATAATGAGGCCACAGTAAGCAAGCTGAGTGGCAGTGACAGCCTGAGGCAGTGATAACCTGCATTTTTGTGGATGAGGAAATCAAGGACCACAGAGGTTCAAGTGTCACAGTGATGAAGATCACTGGCCCCAGAGTGGGCCTGCCTGGTTTTGGATCCTGAGGCTGCTTTCACCCTGCCAGAATTCTGCACCTCAGTCTCATCTACAAATGGGGATAACACGATGTCAGGCACCCATTCTGTTACAACAGTAACGACCATGAATATTGAGTTCTAGATATTATTCCAAATATTTCACTTCTCAGACAGAAGCTATTTTTATTCTCATTTCACAAATGAGGAAACTGAAACATAGAGAGGCTACATAGGCTTTCCACGGTCATAGCAAAATCTGGAACTGAACCAGGCAATTCTGATTCTAAGCCTGGGCCTTAACCACTAAGCAATCTCACCTCCCTGTCAATATAGGAGATTTAAACAAGATAATACATATAGCATATATAACATGACACACATCTAATCTCAGTAACTGTTAGCTGTTAATAATATTTCTGTTATCACTAACCCAAGATTTCACAGCCAGATTCATAGACCAGATGAACCTTAAAAGGTCACTCAGCCAAACGAATTGGCGAGTGGCAGTGAAGAGATGCCAGGCCTGCTCACACATTCCTTGGACCACAGGCACCAGCCATGGCAGGAAGCCCCAGCTCTACCTGCCTCATCCATCCCCACACCTCCACCCTGCCCCGCACAGTGCACAGTGGGTCCTCACCATTGACAATGGTTCGCCGAGTAATCTCCCACAGCACCAGGCCGAAGGCCCAGATGTCGGTCCACTTGTAAGACTCGAAGCAGTCGGTGCGGATCTGCTCATCCAGCACCTCCGGTGCCATGTACCGCTTGGTGCCCACTCTCGGGTTGTTGCCAATGTCCAGGTAATCGCTACCCTGAGAGTGCATCACAGCCAGGCCTGTGGGTATGAGGCCTGTCACTCCTGCCACTCACCCTGGCTCACACCAGGGCTGCCTCTGGGTGGGGATGGATAGTGACAGGCACACAGAAGCAGGAAAAGGGAGACCTGCCCTTAGATGACCTGGAAGACAGTGGCCAGAGGGAAACCACCCGTCCCATTTACCCTTTCTGAATGGTTCCTAGGAACCTATCAAGATGTGAATATGTGGGCCTGGGGATTTAGCTCAGCGGCATAAGCTGCCTGCTTTGCAAGCAGGCAGTTGTGAGTTCAATCCCTGGTACTGATAAAAAGGAAAAAGACAAAAAAAAAAAAAAAAAAGATGCGAATATGCAAGGCAGGCTTTATTATGCCCATCTCACAGAGCAGAACCTGGAGGCCTGGGAATAGTAACAATGTATGCATTGAAGCCAGAATGAGGTTCCTGGTTCTCTGTCCCTTTCTCCCAACTCTAGGGTGGGTGGTGGAAGGAATTTAGCTTGGGAATGGTGTTAATATAATTTGTGGGGCTCTTGTGGAAGTGAAATGAAATAAAACACCTTTCCAAATTTTTAAATCAAGAATAACAATGGCCACCCACTCCAGAGGAAAACAGGCAGGCCAAGCACAGAAACCACACCCATCAGCAAAGGCCCCGCCCACCCACTCCTGTTTGTCCTACACAGCTCACCCAGGTCTGCAATGCAACACTGAAGGTTGCTCTTGACCAGAACATTGCGGCTCTTGAGATCACGGTGGGCAATGGCCGGTTTTCCCTGTGTGCCGAAGATCTCCACGTGCAGGTGTGCCAGGCCGCACGCTGCGGACACAGCTAGCTTGAGGGCCAGCTGAGGCTCAAGCGTCTGCCTCTGCAGGAAGTCATAGAGGGAGCCGTGCTCATGGTAGTGCGTGATGAGCCACAGCTGCGTACTGGAATTTCGGGAGGTCATATCTGAGGCGATGAAGCCTGTGCACAGAAGGGGCAGTGTAGTTCAGCCAAGGGGCAGGGGAGGTGGGGAGCTGGACTGGTCGGGGGCAGTGTAGGGCTGGGGATCAGGGAATAGATTGGATCAGGGTAAAGGTGGGACTTGGGGGGAGGCTGATCGGATTTAGGATTTAGGTCAGAGACCAGAGCTGGAGTCAGGTGGGCTGGAGGCCTTCAGGATTAGGGCAATGTCCAAAGCCCTGTGGACCAGGACCCAGGGGTGGAGATGAGACTGCCAGGTCCATCACTGGGTTTGTCTCCCTTGCCTAGGATGTTGTCATGCCGGAGCAACACTGTATTGTAGATCTCCGTCTCCCGGAACCAGGACTGCTCATCCCTCGAGGAGAAGATCTTGACAGCTACACTCTCACCATGCCACAGGCCCCGCCACACCTCACCGTAGCGGCCCTTTCCTGATCCAGTGACCAGAAAGGGGGGCAAGGATTATACACTGGACACAGAGTGCCCTGGAAAAGCTGCCCCCACCCATCTTAATGCTATGCAGAGCCCTTTTGTAGAATCTCTCAGTTTACGTGTAACTTAATCCAGACCCAAACCCAGCACAGACCGCCCCGACTCCTGCTGAAGAACCCTGCCCTGACTCAGTTCCGGTCAGTTCCTCACCCAGCAGAATTCCCATTCTGACCCAGACCTGGCCCCGCTGGTATTTCTGGAAGTCAAGAGCCCCCTCATCCCTTTAGGTTGGTAGGATCCCTTAGCCCCCATCCCTTGGGCTCACCCACTGCTCACCCACACACTCCACCAGGGTGACTTGCCGTGCCACTGTCCTCTGCACCAGAAAGGGGAGCCCTGAGCCACTGCCTGTGGTGCAGTTGCTATCCAGGAATTCCTGAGGATACCAAGAAGCCCCTGAGAGACCATCCACACCAGCCATGGCCCCCTTCTTTGTCAGCTGTGTCACTGCATGCTTCCCCCTCTCCCAGTTCCCAGCCAGCTATGCTTTCTGGGTGACCCCCTCTGAGTCTATGGCTCCTGTTTCCCCACCCTCTGCCCTTAGTTCAAAATTCCCCGTACCCCCAACATGCTGTCCCTCTGCTCGGATGATTTCAGGATGAGGCTGGACTCGCCCAGGTCACTGTACAGGCCTCGCTGCTTCTCCTGCCTCCGCCGGACATGCCACAGGCCCAGGGTACCCAAGGCCACCAGCACTAGCAAGGCCAGCACAGGGCCGAGGATCAGAGGCAGCTGGCTATCTACTTTTGGCTGCTCCGGAGGAGTCTGGGTGGCTGGAGGAGGAGTATACTGAGTCCCAGCTTCTACCAGGCCAGCTCCCCTGCCCTTGGGCCAGACCATTCCACCAGCCAAATGCCAGCATTATGGTTCCCCCAACTCCACCCCTCACCCTTCAGAGCACAAAAGAAAAGCCAGGGGGTGGGGGAGGGGCAGGGTCTGAGAAGGTGGGGAGGGGTTGCTGGGGGTGCTGGACTTACTCTCCAGCGACAGGGATACATTGTGGTTGCAGAAGGATTGGCGGCAGCAGAAATGATGGGCGAATTCAGTGGCACGCCCCCTACAGAGCTCTTCGTTCTGGCTTCCACATCCCTTAAAATTCTGGAGATGACCTTCTTCATCTACAAACAGCACTGCTGTACACCAGAGTCCCTGGCAGGTGGTCCCCTTGCAGTGTGGGTTCTGACATGTGCAGGTTACCAATGAGGTCTGAAAGGGCTCCACAGGGTTCCCTGGGGGACACAACAGAGGCTTAGTCACTCTGGGCACAGCTGCCCCGCAGTGAGCTCAACACTTGTTTCTGCCCCACTGACCCACCTGCCCACTGACTCCCTGTCATCCCTCAAACAAACCCTTGAGGCCTTGGTCTTTTACTTCCATCCCCTGATCCTCTTTCCCTCAGAACCTTACCCCTGCTTGGCAGCAGAGGAGACTAATAGGAAAGCTTCCGGCCCGTGCCTGATCCCAGGACCTGTTTTCCCAGTACCAGGGGTGCCCTGGCCTCGAGCTCTAAGGGCTTTCTCAGGTTTTCCCTGTCAGCATTCTCATTCCCTTCACCCCGTATATAAGACAGACAAGCTTCCCAGCCTGGAGTTTGACAGAGCACCAGCCTGAAGGTTTTATTAGGGAGACAGACAACAAAGGACGCTTGGGGTGGCCGAGCCTAACTGAGTCCTCTTAGTGCCTACTACAGCCAGGCTCCCATCTCCTGTCCCTAACACTTCGGATTCAGTCTGGCAAGAGGGGACCTGAGCTGAGCCCATGTCCCAGCCGCTCTCCGCATACTTACCCTGGGTCAGGCCCAAGGCCATCAGCAGCACCAGAAGGCCCCTCTTAGGGTAGGCCAACGTCATCGTCCCTGGAGAGAGGAGGTGAGGTAAGTTCTGCAAGATGTACTGCAGCTTGTTCCTACCAGGAGGAAATCACTGGGAGTTTATTATGGTGGGGGGAGGCAGGGAGGCCACCTCTCTACTCCCTGCGTCTGGCGTTGGGGCGGGGCCTGCAAGGGAAGTCCTGATTCACTTCCCCATGGAAACCATCCTGTCAGGGCTGAGGGTGGCAAGCCATGTCTGAGTGACGGGAGCCCAAAGGACAACAGTTCTGTGCCCCTCTGCTGAGCTCAGATTGGACATGGGCCAGGAGGCCCAAAAAGAGCCTGGACTGGGGTGCCAGCAGCTGCTCTTCGGCAGTGTCCTGTGTCCTCTGCCACCAGCTTTCAACCTCTCAACCTCCACTCCTGCCCACCCTTTTCCCAGTGCCCGCCCCGCCCCCCCCAGCCCTGGCTCAAACATAAACAGGCTCCTGTCTTCACTTCCTGCCATTCAGGGTCCCGCCAAGCCGGGAAAAGGAATCAAGATTGTTTAGATTGAGGTCTGGATAGAACAGGCAGGAGTCACGCAAAGGAGGGACTTGAGACTGTCAGGACAGGCGGGGGCAGCTGCAGGGCCTGGGGGAGCCACTTGGGGCTGAGACCCCCACATGACAGAGTTCTGGGAGGCCACCTGGGAAATCACAAGGTTCCGCTCCTGACTTTAGAGACAGGACTAAGGCTCACACAGGGGAGGAGGCTTGCCCAGGGTCAGACACGTATCGACTCCTAGTCCAGGAGCAACCATGTAATAAGTGTGCAAAGTGTGGACAGGGCTGGGTAATGTCAGGCGTCAGGGAAGCTCTCTGCCATTTGAGTAAAAGGGGTCTCTCAGAGTTGTTCCCTGGCTCCCTTCTCCTTTACTGCTGATCAGGGAAAGAGCTGGGGGAGGGCTATGATGTGGGAGAGGAAGTGAAACACACAGTCTCTGAACGTGTGACCTCCCATGGCTGGCAGGGTGAGATTTTGCCAGAAGTTTGATGGAGAGATTTAAGGGGAGTTAATTCTCATCCCCGATACTTCCCAACTCAGGTCTCAAGTCAGCTAGTGCTCAGAAGTCACTCCCTTCTTCACTTGTCAAACTTTTAGACTGAGATGGTGGCTGGGGGTATGGGTCAGTAGTACAGTGCTTACCTAGTGTGTGTGAGGTCCAGCCCCAGTACCCCTTCCCCAGTAGAAAGAAGGAGGATGGTGGCCAGACAGCATCGAGGAATCTGTGAACAGCCAAATGTACAAGTGGACATGTGTCTGGGACTGGATTGTCAGTTAGGGTGGCTAACACGAGAGTGACAGCGGCCTGTGGCAGGGTCAGATATGTGGTTGCATAAAATGAAGACTGCCCACTGTGTAAGGGTGGTGCCACATGAAGACCTGAGGTGCTGGGGCTCGGAGGACAAGGTAGCTGGGGGCGGGGTGGGGGGCTTCATGGGCCTCTGCCCATGGCAGCTCTGGCTTTCCTGCCTGGGCTTCCTCTGCCCTAGAGGCCCAGGCTGGGGGAGGAAACAGAGCTCTGGGCTGCTGCAGCTGTGGCCCCAGCCTATGCCTGACCTCCTGCCTCTTGTCCCTCCTGGTAGCCAGTGAGGACTCTAGCAAGCACTCTGCAGTGGGGCCTGGCTGCTGGATGGAGAGAGAGCCCCAGGTGAGCTGAGTGTGCCTACTGGGGAGCAGGCAGGAAGCCAGTCTTGACTGCTTTCCCCTGCCCAGACAGTGGCTAAGAAGAGGATAGGAGGTAGAAAGGAAAAAGTGGTTAACATCAAGTATGCTATCTGGCCTCCTTCTAGGGTCTCTGCCAAGCCTCCAGTTCTCTGACGTCTCCAGTCCACCCACTCCCTCTCTCTGTCACACATCAGAGTCCGCTGCAGTGGGCTAGAAATGCACATCCTTTGGTCTCACCTGCACTCCAGATCCTGATTCAGTCTACCTGGGACCAGCAAGAAACATGCATTTTTAAAACATTCTCCAGGGAATTCTGATGCGTCTGTGTGGGCACCACACTTTGAGAACTGTGCTCCGAAAACAGCTAAGACTAGGTTATTTTCTTCTGCTTTGCTGGGCGGGGTCCTGCTAGTCAAGAGTGGGCCACAGAGGGAAAGGACCTCACTTCCACTGTCACAGGAGACTTGGTGACACTGTGGAACAAGGGTGGAGATGAGGACTTTTTCTAGACATCAGCAGGGCAGGGGAGAGCTGGTGGCATTTGCAGAATTCTAGTCTAATAATCCTGGGAAAACTCGGACTGTCCAATTTCTAACTGAGACTGTGTGAGATTTAGTACAGAAAAGGTACTGGCCAGATACACAGCTGACTCCACATGAGTCACCCTGAAATTTGACCGTGGCACAGACACCTGGCCTAGCAGTATGCTTTCGTTTCTAAGCCAAACTGAGAAAGATCTCCTGTAGGCAGAAGCATCATTGTTATTGACCAGAAATAACAAATATTAAAATTAAATTTAAATATTAGTGTAGGGCCATGAAATGATACTAATAGTTAACCTGTTCCTTGTACTAATTATGGTCCATCTCATTTTTAGTCCTTACAACAGTCCAGTGAGGAAGCCAAGGCTCAGGATGGTCAGTTTCTTGCCAACAGTCACTCATTACGCCTTGATAAATTTTGCTGATAAAACATCTTCTCTGGGTCCTTTGTATTCCTCCAGTTGTTTAGAGTTAGGTGAGTCCTCACTCGAGGAAAAAAGCAGTATAAGTTTTAGCAAACAAACAGCCCACTGCTGTTGTCACCACTGAGTTCCCTGCTCTGGTTTAGTTGTAAGGACAGTGGCACTAACCAGAAGCTATGCTGTAGGCTTAGTCAGTGTTGGGCCTCGGGTGAAGGTCTCCAGAGAAGGATTGTACCTGGAAGGTGGCTGTAGATCTTTTTCTCCTAGTTACACCCGAAGGACTGATGAAATCCGCTCCCATCGGCAGCAGCGCTCAGCACAGCAGTGCCTGTCACAGAGCAGGGAAAGCGCTGTGTCAAATGCAACTGTCTTTTTTCTTTTTATCCTTCTTCTTCTTTTTTTTCCCCCCTCAGAATTGAGCCTAGAACCTCTTGCGTGCTAGGTAAGTGCTCTACTACTGAGCTACATTCCAGGCCCAAACATAACCATTTTGCCTCACTTTGAGCTTCACAAAGTCATACTCCGATGGCACCAGACCAAGCTGTTCATGTGGGGTTGCCTTTACGATTCAATCAGTTAGTTAGCCCCTTCCAACCATGCATTGTAGCAAAACAAATTGACTGTTAAGAGTCACAGGCAGAGGATGGAGACAGCACAGCAGAATTCTCCCTTGTCAGAGGGGAAGATGTTCCAAGACCCCCAGTGGATAACTGACACCATAGCATCTAGATACTTTTCCCCACACACACACAACTATAATAAGGTTGTTTATACCTATTTTAGTTTAATTTAAATCAGCTTTAAGTTAGATAGAGCAAAGCCAGGTATGGTGGTTCATGTCTGTAATCCCAGAACTTGGGAGGATGAGGCAGGAGAACAGCCTGAGTTCCAGGCCAGCTGATTCTACACAGTGAGTTCAAGGTCAGCCTGGGTTATATAGTGAGACTCTGACTCGAGAATAAAATAAAATAAAATAAAATAGATAAAGCAAGAGATTACCAATAATTAGTAATACCCCATAACAATTATACTGTAAAAACTTTTATTTTCACCTTTTATTTAAAGAAGGAACTGTGTAGCTTCTCTATCCAAATCAACCACATCACCGCTCTTGTACTTGGGGCAATTACTAAGTAAAATAATAAGTATTTGAGCACCAGCCTTGCAAAATCTCTGCAGACAATCTGAATACTAAGGTAGCAGCTGAGGGCCCAAGTGCTTCCCTGGCAAGTGCAAGGTCATGAGTTCAATCCCTGGTACAAAAAAGAAAGAAAAAGAAGAAGATAGCAGCTGCTACGTGACTAACAGGCAGGGTAGTTTCTACAGCATAGATACTGGACAAAGGGCGATTCATGTTCAGATGGATGGAATGTAACCACGCAAGTTTCCACCATACCAATCAAAATAGTGCAATTTAAAACAATTTAAAACATGAATTTTTACTTCTGGAGGTTTGCTTTCATTTTATTTTATTGAACTGAAGAGTGCTCCATCACCACACTAATCTCCAGACCTTTTGTTGTTGTTTTAGTTTGAGATAGGTCTAGCTAAGTTGCTCAGCCTGGCCTTGAATTTGTGACCCTCCTGCCTTGCCCTCCTGAGTGGCTGGAATTACAAAACTGTGCCATCATGCCTGACTCCACTTAATATTTCAACACCACAGTAGACTGCAGATAACGGGAACCTCAGAAAGCAAAACCACAGATAAGCAAGAAGCAGATAAGGGAAATACTACTGTATAGTATGGGATTAAGGTATGAGCTCTGGATCACATAGATCTGGGTTCAAATCCTGCCTCTGCAATTTAGAGCTATGAGACTGGGACAAGTTACTTAACTTCTTGTGCTTAGGCATCTCCTTGTATATAAAGTAAGAATAATAGTAGTGTTTATTTCATAGGTGTAATGTTGCAGAAATTATTTGGTAGAACACTAATTAGTACATAGTAAGCACTTAAATGTGAGTATGGCTCCACCTGTGCTATTTACATCATCTAAGGAGCTTTGGACAAGTTATTCAGGTCTGAACTTCTTGTCTCTCATATAGGGCGAGCATAATAACCCCTCTGCTGCTTGGTTGTGACCGAGATTACATGAGAAAAATATCTAAGTGTCTACATAATAAGCACTCAATAAATGGTAGCCATTTTTAATTATCAACCCAATGACAAAGGAGACAGGTTAGGGGACAGGTACCAGGACACATGGATCAATGAAAGACCCGTGCCTCGGGCAGGAGCTGTCCCCAGAGGGTGAGGGTTACTACTATCCACTCTACCTATTCTTGAAGAAAAGAGGGGCTGGGCAACCAGCCTCGAGATCGCAGGGCTTCGGTCTTCCAGGCAGACTGAAAACCTGGGGTCCCTGCCTGAGAGTGTCTGGGATCCCCTTTGGCATGGGAACTGGGCAATCATCCTAGGTTGGGGAGACCAGGCTTGTGAGGTGGAGTTAGTGTCAGCTCCCCTAAGCAAGAGCTGCAAGAGCTAGTCTGGGAAAGGTCAGCCCCAAGGGAGGCTCAAGAGCATTGGAAGTGGACACCCACTCCCAACTCAGCCCAGCAGTGTGCATGTGTCTGCTCTTTTTTTTGGTACCGGGGATCTAACTCAGGATCTCGCGCTTGCCGGGCAGACGCTTATGCCACTGAACTACATCCCTGGCCACTACGTCTGCCCATTTTAGGGATTAAGCTAGGACAGAACAGTTAGAGGTTTCTGATTCGCAGTCCAGACTCCAAGTTCAGAAGGGGACTGGGCAGATGCACCCATACAACGAGGGGCAGCTGACGCTCCTGAGTACCTAGGGACAGACCTGCGGCCACTTTCCTGATCCGCCCAAAGCAGGGCCATTGGGGCGGGGTCACGTGGCCCCTGCCCGGTCCCGCCCCGCCGCCCTCGACTCACCTTTCGGCCGGCGGACAGGGTCCGAGTCCCAGAACCAGGGGCGAGGAGCGCTAGGCTGGAGCCAGGAGCTGGGGGCCAGGCGCGGCCCCAGGACGGGGCTGGGGCAGGGGAGGGACTCGCTCCGCGCGGCTGGCGCGGCGGCCTCCCGGGACTGGGAAGGGGGCTGGAGCAAAAATGTTTCTTATTCCAGCGTCTTCCTGCCTGGCCCGGCTCCACCACTCCCTCCTAATAAACCGTTTCCTATTGCCCAGCACGCCGACCGGCCGCCTGCTGGCCCTCAGGACTGGGCCCCTCGCGTTGCTCACAGATCCCAGGCCACTCCGCTCCGGGGTCTGGACTGGCACCCCCGGCCCAGCTCCCACCCTTGCCTCCTTGAAGACCAGGCATTGAATTTAGGTCCTGGGTCCCATGAGGTCTGGGCAGAGGCTTGAGGCCCACAGCCTTCATGGAGTTGTGTGTGTGTGTGGAGGGGGGGGGTGGTGTCACCAGCTGGTGGCTGGGTTAGGGGGGCACTAGGGGCATCTGGGAGGGTGGCACCGAGGGAAGGACATGTATCGGGAAGGGAAGTTACCTGTCCTTACACCACCTTCGACTCGGGTTCTCAGTCTGGGAGGTTAGAGCAGCAGTGAGCAGAATTTATGGCTAGTGGGGTCCAGATAGATTTTGGCTCCACCCTGTGGGACTTTGGCTTGGCCCAAATCCTTCTGTCTCCTCCCTCCACTCCCTTCCCACACCCCTGTCCCCTCCCTTCTGCCCAGCAGGCTTCCTCATCAGCGTGTAGTACAGGAGTATAGAGACCCAGACAGGGGTGCCTCTGGGCCAGTGATAAAGATGGTCCTGCTCCTGTCTGGTGACAAGGACAATCTCACTATCAAGGGCAGCCAGGATGGACAGAGATGCTGGGAGCTGCTTGGACTTTCCCCTTCCAGGAAGACTCCCCCACAGTTACTAGAGCCTCCTGTGTGGGGAACCTGGAGCAGGTGGAAAAACTTCCTCCCCATGCTGGAGGCAGATCTGCCAGCCTTGCTGACCCCAGGCACTGTGAGCAGGACTCGGTTTTAGTCTCAGCCGCCTGGTTGCACACACTCTGGTCAGCCTACCTACTGGGAATCCAGTTGCTTGTTTTTCCTTAGACAATGACTCTTGAGCACCCCATCTCTTATGGCCGTAGTGCACAATGCTAACCTCCTAGGGAGGTGAGGCAGGGTGTGACACCTATCTCAGTTCATAGCTGAGCCTGGCTAAGAGCAGGCCTTCCCTCCATGGAGTCTGTAAATTAAGCTAATATGTGAGAAACCTGGGGATGGAGAGGCCTTAGTGCTTGGCAGAGACCTCCAAATTGTCTTGCTCTAATGAAGAGATTCTGCAGGATGGACCTCCCACCTCGTCACCCCTTTGCTAGGAAGAAAGAGTGGGACAAGGCCCAGAGTCTCAGACAGCATTAGCATTATTTGCTAAGAACTCACTTCCTCTGCTGAAATCCATCACCCCTAGTTGCTTCACAATTTGTGAGTCTAGTGAAGTCTCAGAACCCTGCCGCACCCGAATTTCAGTGTCCCGAAGCCAATAGGAAGTACTATGGGATTACGGTATCTCTCCCCTTTAAGATTATAGCAGCCACTTTGGCACTGTATTAGCTGCAGAACTGGGAGCGTGGTGGTTTCTTGGCCACATCTTTCGCAACTACTCTCCCCCTGCTGTGGCTTCTGGCCAATCCTTTCCTCCCACAACCTATGAATCTCTGTCTGATGAGGTGGGAGTAAGGGCTGTGGATTAGGGCCTTATGAGACCTCCACAGACTGAGTTCCAGTCCTGCTCCCTCCAGGAAGCAGATAAAAGAAATCATTGAGGAGATCAAGTCTGAGAGGTGGTGGGGATGGGAGACTTTCTGTGGGTAGGGTCAATAAATTAACAAATAAAATTTTATGATGATTTTATGCTGAAGAAGAGAGAGCCAGTAGGGGATGGCACTGAAATACCCCGACCCCAGCCAGGGCACCAAACCCTCTAGTCCCTGACTAGTACTTTGGGAGCTCTTGCAAACCCTTGCCTCTCACAGTGCACAAAGAACCTGGGGAACGTGTCAGAGGAGGGACCCAGAGTGTTGGAGAAAGTACTGGAGCCACAGGCCAATGAGGACATGGAAAAGGAATTATAGACTGTGTCCAAGTCTACAAGAATTAACTGCTCAGAGGGACCAGCTGTTCCCTGTACTCAGTGAAGACAGAACAAGAGGAAACAGGCACAAAGGATTCTGATCCAGATTTAGGTATGCAGAGGGATTTCCCAACAGTGCCTTCAGCAGAGGCCCGGAGCTCATGGGTCTATTCGTGGCAGATGCCATGGAGTGGCTTGTCTTGTCATGAAAGGAGGGCAGTGGCTCCTTGACCTTTCAGGATTAGCTATGAGTAAAATTCAAGCATTGCTGGAGCCCAGTGCAGAGCCAGCTTTGTGGGTGTGTGACTTGTGCAGACATTCAGGGCCCCACACTTGGCTTAATGTTCTTCATTTGCCATCCTGAAGTTCTTCATAATATTTTTAATGATTTTTAATGAACAATGGACCCAGAATTTTCATTTTTGCACTGGCCCCATAAATTATGTAGCTGTTCTGTGCCAGGATGAGTAAAGAAAAAAGCAAGAGAGGGGAATTAGCAGGGTGTGAGCTGGGCTTTGCTCCTCTGAAATTGCAGAATAGAGGGCTATGAATGTTGCTCAGTGGTAAAGCACTTGCTTCCTGTGTGCAGTGCCCTGCATTCAATGGCCAGCAACAAAAAAGAAAAAAGCAGGGGCAAATACAGAGTGGGAAAATTAGATGGGGCCACCGATGAGTTTATTCAAATGCAAGAGACACAAATCTGGTAGAAAAGTGTACTCAAGGAGGAATAGTTAGGGGCCTTCTTTAAGGGAGAAGGACAGACACTGTCTGTCTATTCAAAACTCAGGAGTGATTTTTTTAGTGTAGCAAGGTGAATGGAGTCTAAGTTTTGCCTGGAGGAAAAGGGAGAGGAAATGACCCTGCAGGTGTCCTGCAGCTCCAGGCAGGAAGGCATGGTGGCATTCTGAAAAGAGCAGTAAGTATGGATCTTGAGTTCTGGGTTCCAGGCCTGGATCACTTCTTTGTGCCTCAGTATGCTCCTTTGTACAATGAGGGATTTTAGAGAATCCTGAAGATTCCTCCTGGCCCTCTGTGCTCGTCTTTAGCTCTAAGATTCAGGAAACTGCCTGCTCCCATGTAGTTACTATAACTCAGGTCAAAAGGCAGCTTCACTGGTATGGAGTTTGGGGAGGGTGGGAAGCCAGAGCTCTGGTCAACTCCTCAGGAAATGGCAGGCAGACACCAGCCAGATCCCAGACTGAGCAGCCAAGCCATATTCCTCCTCTCCCGGCTTTTCCAGATCGTGTCTAGATGGGTTTGTCTACTTCCTGCCCACTACTCAGCTCTCAGGATGACTCATCTCAGGATGGACCCTGTTGGGGGAAGAATGGCATATCAGGGCAGGGGAAACTGGAATTTAGAAGGTGCCATGAGATGCCACAGGAGGCGGTGGGCACGAAGTCCTGTCATTATGGAAAGCTGCCCCAGCATCATCTCCTCTTGCCAGTGCAGCAGGCTCTGGAGTACCCCTTCCCACATGCTTCTTGGAGCTCTGAGCTGGCTCCCCCAAACTGGCCTGACTGCCGAGGGCCAGGAGAGTCCGGGGATGAGCGCATGCTGGGGGTAAGAAAGAACACCTGCATGTAGCCCCAGCTTCTATACCCGAGGGAAGGGTTGATCACTCTTTCTCTACCACATTCTCAAACTAACGGCCAAGTATGTGAGCAAGTCCTCCATCAGCTGTGAAACCAACACCAGATGTCTGGTGTGCCGAGCCGGAGAAGGCAGAGCTGTGGATCAGGAGGAAGAGCACTGCGCCGGGAGTCAGGAGACCCAAAGTAGCCAGCACATGTAGCGGCAGCGTGGCTCCTGTTTGATCCGCTCAAAGACAAGTCAGAAAGGTCGCCTCCTCTAGTAGCTGCACGAAGGGCTATTACACAATATTTAGTTACTGGAGGGGCTTGTACGAGGTGCCCATTCTGTTAAATCCCAGACAGCCTAGTGTAAAACAAGGAAATATAATCCACAAGAGCTGGAGATACAGCTCAGCAGCACAGCGCCTGCCTGGCAGGTGCGAGGGCATGAGTTTGATCCCTGGAACCCAAAAAATAAATCAATAAAATAATAAAGTAAAAACTACAAGCAAGTTAATAAGGAGAAACAACTGTACCCATGTTTAGACGCTCTTGCTGGAGGCATTGCGGCTGTAAAATTTCTGGTTACGTATTTGTTTTTATGACATTTGCTTCAGTTGATTCTCAACCTCGTGTGCATGAATGTCTACCTCTTAAAACTTCAGGCATTGTTCAAAAGCTTGGAGATTTAGGTCACTTCAATGCTTTCTGTCTAATTATTGTTATCTGATTACTACTTTATAAATTGAAATAATATAGCCAAATCTTTAGTTCTAGTCCAGCTCTCCTGGTGTTTCTCTAAATAAGGACTGTGGCACCCACCTTGTTCCCTGGAGCTGCAGTCCTGATGCAGGAAAGGAATCTGTGCGGATTCACTGCTGTGAGTGACGGGGGTCTGGGGGCTATTCAGGTAAACTGGTCACTGTGGAAGTCTCGAGAGCCATGGTGAGCATTTTGGGTGGTGTAGGTCTTCCTAGAAGCATCTGGACTCTTCCCCACTCTAATAAGAAGCCTGGCATGGGTGAGGAAAGACAGGGGTGACTGGTAAGAGACTGGGGAAGATGATCCTTTGAGGTGCTTTGCCGCCCGGGAAGTCTGAGGAGTCAAAGTGTTCACCTCCACGAGAAAGGGGTTTGGGCAATGAGAGGATTTGAGGGTAGGTAGTGGCCCCCACTGGGTAGGTAATGGCCTCCAGGATTTGAGGGTAGGTAATGGCTCCTGCTGGGAGAAAGACTGCTTGAAAGAAGGTGCTGGGCAAGGCCAGAGGCCAGCGGGATTTCCTTCGGCTCCAGCCACTCGAGTGGGTGGGACCGGATTGATCACGCTGCACACAGGAATCTGCCTTTGTTTCCAGCTGGAGGGGAAATGCCATAAGCCCTGCCGCTTTCCCGTCCCTCCTGCATCTGAGTGAAGGCTCTGCCCTTCCCAGGACCAGAGGGCTTGGGACTGAGGGCTTCTGGCAAGCTTTTATCTGGAGGGTCCCCAAAGACACAGACGTCTGCCCCTTGTGCTCCCAAAGCAAGGCACTTGCACAGATATGGAGAACACGTTGCCAAGAGGGCACCAAGTCTGTTTTAGCCCAAGGAGGCATGGAAGAGTTTGGGTTAGACCTGCGTGGCTCTCTCTTTCCCTCAGAGTGACCATAGTTCTCCATGGCCAAGAAAGCTATGAGGCCTAGAGACAGTATTTAAGGGCAAGGCTTGGGTCCCTTCAGCCCCTCCAACTCCTGCTCCCGAGGGTCAGACAGACTCTGGAACTCCACCCACAGTTACACTAGCAATGTGTGGAGCCGGGCCCACAGTGTTGGGGGCAGGGCGGATGGGAGGAGAGGGTGGGCCTGGAACCCAAGCAGTAGGGGAGCCTGTATTTTTTATTTTTGGTTAGTGTATCTATGTGTTTGTGCACCTGTGTGACTAAATGTGTTCCGTGTGCTGCTGTATGTGGCCCCTCTGTGTATGACTGGGAATCTGTAGGCCAGTGGACCTGTGTGTCCTGTGGCTGTGAGGCCTCCGGTTCCCATGGGTCCTGACTGATGCTTGTCTGTGTGCGGCATTTGCCTGTGTAACTATGGTTGAGGTTTCAGAGTTTGCCTTCTGGCACAAAAGTAGCCAGGGTCAGAGTCTGGTAAGGCAGGGCCACGCCTCACCAGACTGAAGTCCCCTCTTCGCACCTAGGTGTCTTCTTTAACAGTGGAAGCCTGTGCTCTCCCTGAAGGCAAGGTGACAGGGGACCAGATCCAGACCTATGCAAGGGTCCTAGGTGGATAGGTTCCTTAATGTCACCGAGATCTGACAGGTGAAATGACCTAAGTGGTCAGGCCAAGGAAGAGACTGGAGGGAAAAGGAGTGGGGCATGGATGTGGCCAACCTGGTGTTTGGTGCATGGAAGACGACTGGGTGTCCTCAACCATTTGGGAAGTACGACTGTCAGAGAGAAGGGAAGCCAGCCCTGGCTCCCTGGTATGGAGCAAAGAGGACACAGGCCAACAAGTTCCCGCCTATTCTTTTGTCTTCTCTCCACATACCTACTCCTTTGCTTTCTGCTGGCCCAACAGGGGTTTCCTGGACATGCCCTGATGCTACCAGGAACATTCCCACTCCTAGGACCGGGGCAGCTCCTGAGAGGAGGAGGCAGATGAGAGGCCCCTCTATGCATTCCAGGCCTTAGTGGAATGTACAATCAGATCTGTATACATTGTTTAAGCCTTGTATGGGCTGGGCACTAGGGATACAGAGATGGTTCCTGTCCAGAGGTCTCTACCAGTCTGGCTGACATCCCAGTTATGTTAGAACAGCAACTCTGTGGTCCCACCTGTGGGATCCCATGTGCCAAGGTGGGAGGGGGATGCTTGCTTCCCAGGGAGGAGCTTACCCAGCCAGCAGTGCTGCAGTGACAGTGGCAGTTGGGAGTGTGCCTGGGCTAAGGCACAGAGAGGGACAGAGACTGGTCCAAGGAGGTTTCTTCATTTGAAGGGTTGCCACAGTGGTATCCTGGAACCACGGACTGCTCAGCTCACCTACCAGGCCTGAGTGTGTGCACTGAAGGTGCCTAGCGCCTCCCTTACATGCCTCTTGCTGTTCAGTGAAGCCTGGGATTCCAGCTGACCTGGAGATGATCAGGGCTAGGAGCGGGAGGCTCCCTCTGCTGGAAAAGGTTGTGCCTTCAGCTCCAGCCATGCAGGACACAGGGCCCTCAGAATGCTGGGGTCATCCCTGAGCAGGGGAAAGGCAGGAGGGCTAGGCTCAAAGAATCAGATGAAGCTGAGCTGCAGGCAGAGGCCACACGCTGCAAGTAGAACCAACCTAAGCTTCAGTGTGTCACAGACGAGCTCCAAGCACCACACTGCCATTTTGCAGGTGAGAACACTGGGCCAGCCACTTTATCTTCATATCCTCGTTTTCTTTCTTTCTTTCTTTCTTTCTTTCTTTCTTTCTTTCTTTCTTTCTTTCTTTCTTTCTTTCTTTCTCTCTTCCTTTCTTTCTTTCCTTCGTACCTCATGCTTGCCAGGCAGGTGCTTTACACCACTGAGCTAAACCCCCAGCCCCATATCCTTGGTTTCTTCAACTCTGCAGTTGGAAGGGTGTGAAGATTAAATAAGAAAGTGATGCTGGGCGTGGTGGCTCATGCCTACAATCCCAGCACTCAGGAAGCTGAGGCAAGGAGGTTGCTGTGAGTTAGAGGTCAGCCTGGGCTATGAATTTAAGGACAGCCTGAACTATACAGCAAGACTCTGTCTCAAAAAGAAGTGACATTAATAAGGCCAAGTATGGTGCTGAGTGCTGCCTTATCTCACTCACTTCTCACCGCAGCGTTGTGTGAACAGGGAGCATGTTATTCTTACCTTCACTCTGCCCCGAGAGCCGTGAGGCTCTGACAGGTTAAATAACTTGCCCAAGATCACAGGCCAGCTCCAAGGCCAAAACACTTTACCACCATGCAGTTCCAAGATCTGGTAGTTCTGCCCCATCTGGGATGCCAGTTCCAAGGTTGTCTTCATGGGCTGTGATTTCAGCAGTGGGTGAGAGGGAAAGGATTCTGTCCCTTTCATGGTCCCTGAAGCAGATCAATCAAACTCGGTTTCCAGGGTCTGTCTTGATAGCACTTTGTAGTTTGCAGAACTCTTTTCCTCATGTAATCTTATAGATCTTTCTCATAGTTCTGTTTTTCCCATCCTACAGGTGTGAATGCTGAGGCAAGTGAAACTCAGCTGCCTTATTCATGACCACACAGGTGGAAAACAGCAAGGTTAGCTTTAAGTCCATTATAAATACACCATAGGCTTCAGAGCCCTCTGGGGAAAATCACACTCTGACACTTCTCTCTCTCTCTCTCTCTCTCTCTCTCTCTCTCTCTCTCTCTCTCTCTCCTATTCAAAGAGAAGATATATTTTATAATTTTGCACAATTGAGACTATCTGATTAAAAAGTTGGAACAGAATTCTAAGTAATTATGTTGATACTCTACCCTCAAGGAAATAGGTCATGACTCTTGAATGTGGGCTTTTTATAATGACTCCCTTCCAAAGAGTACCAGAGAGGAAGGGGAAACTGAGTCTACAGGAGAAGGCTAACAGTACCACAGCCAGGTGACTAACATCAATGGTGATAAGGCTTGTTCACAGGATGCGTTCTTAGTACAGTGTGATGCTAACCTGTACTCTTCCAAAACCCCAGTCCAATGATGGCAAACCTTTTAGAGATAAGTGCCCCAAGTGCAACCCAAAACCCACTTATTTATTGCAAAATACCAACACTGAATACTGAGATTTTAGTTTAGAAAAAATAACTCATACATTAGCATCTTTTGTCTTAAAAGAAAAAAAACACGTGTGCCATCGGCTCACCGCCATATCCCTAATCTAACCATCACACAAGACCCAGTCCCAAAACACCTGATCAGAACTATTCAAAGCTGTGAAGATCATCAGCAACAAAGAAAGTTTGAGGAGTCACTGTTTGGAGACATCTAAGAAGTGATGATTAAATGTCATGTATATCTTGATGAGATCTTGAGATAGAAAACTCACATTAGGCAGAACTAAGAAAGTGAGTAAAGTAGGGCACTGAGATAACAGTAATAACAATAGTGTGTTAATATTGGCCCATTCATTGCAGCTGCTCTTGGTCTCAAGTCCTCAAAGCTTGAAACCTTAAGGTTACTGGGAGATGGGCTGGGGTATAGCTTAGCAGCACAGCGCCTGCCTGGCAAGGGTGAGGTTGTGAGTTTTATTCTCCATATAAAAAAAAGTTATTGGGAGGGTGCTATGTGACATGTACTGAGATATTCAGTGAGCACCTTATGAAAGTGGTTGCTATCATTATTATGAATACACAAGCAAATATATTTTGGCAATAAATGTGTTTTTTAAAAATCCAAAATGTGTAAATAAGCCCCCCCCCAATTTTATTAAATGTTCCTTCAAGGATATTTTGGATGGCTAGCTAATGACCTCACCTACAGGTCACCTCAGGGAGAGTAATTTTGTTTAGCATGCTTGTGGTGGATTAAAAACTAGTGGTCAATTTAAACATCAGCTGAACTGAATCAGCATGGTACTGAGTATGAATGCCCCACCTTAGGAAAGTTGCCAGCATAAAAAAGGAGACCTGGAGAGGAAGAGTAGCATTGTGAGTTCTCCTAACTGTTGCTATTTGGAGCTGCAGGTTCATTTAGAGCTGTTGGCTCTCCCAGAGGAGCTTGTCATGCTGGCTTCCCTGACACGAACTCAAGTTGTTATCCTCGGAGGAGCTCAGAGCCTTGTTGCTGAGAATGGCTGTGGTTCACTTTGGGGGAACTCAGGTCACTACTCTGGGCATCGCTTCCTGGCTCTAAAGGGAATGATATGTGGTGTTTAATCTCCAGGAGAAGCTTGTCACACTGGCTTCCTGATAAGAACTTGGCTGTTCTCATCATTGGAGAAGCTTGGGACCTCGCTGTCACTGAGGATGACTGTGGAACTTTTCAGGGAAGCCTGGCACTTATTTTGAGCATTGCTTCTTGGCTCCAGGGCAGAACCCTCATCTTACTGGCATAGATCCTTCACCCTGCTGGCATAGACTTTCTAGCTTCCACCGCTGGTCTTTGGGCCTTCCCAGTACAGATCCATGAAACAGACTCGTGTGAGTCATTGTGGGCTCTAGGCCTACAATTGGGCTCATGGTGGGTATTGTCGTGGGCTCTAGGTCTTCAGCTGAACTCATGCAAAACATTGCTGTGGGATCCAGACCCTCGGCTGGATTCTCTAGGTATTTAGTGTGTAGACAGATTTCTTGCCCTTCTTCTATTTGACTATGATTGACTAACATAAATACTACTATAAATTATGTGTCCTGTATGTAATAGTTTTCCTTGCAACCTTTGACTACAACAATATTGTTTACTTTTTCTGTTGTTATTTCCTTTTTTTTTGGTACCTGGAATTGATCTCATGACCTTGTGCTTGCCAAGCACTTATGCTGCAGAGCTAAATCCTCAGCATCTGTTGTTGTTATTGATACGGGTTCTTCATATGTTGCCCAGGCTGATCTCCAACTTGTGGACTCAAGAGATTCTCCTACCTCAGCCTCCTGAATAGCTGGAATGACAGGCATGTGCCATCACAACTGGCTAACATACTATTGATTAAGGCTCAAAATCTGTAAAGAAGTTAACCTGTAGAAGAGGCAAAACTCAAATTCATTCAGCCTGCCACACTAGAAGTTATTTTTGTTTAGCAGAAAAACTAAAAACTTACAGTTTTGTTGCTAAGTAGGAATTCACTTTTTTCTATCACTTTGCAATCTTATTCCAGCATTCTTTTTTCCACTGTCAGTAATGGTCTCTCACTTCTTCCTTTCGCCATCCTGCTGGTTCACTCAGAAAGTAGTTCAATAAATCTTGATACTCACTATGTATTTTTATTGGTCATGTTTATTTTTGTGCAAATTTTATTTTGATAAATAGTATTATGTTATTTATTATTTTCCACCACTCAGTTGTTTTCCTTATACACATTTTGAAGATAGTTTCATAACAGAGCATAAAGGACTTCCTTACTCTTTTTTTTTTTTTTTTTTTGGTTTTTTTGAGACAGGGTCTCACTATGCAGTTCAGGCTGGCCATGAGCTCACTTTGTAGCCCAGGGTGGTCTTGAACTTGCAATGATCCTCTTGCCTCAGCCTCCTGAGTGCTGGGATTACAAGCGTGAGCCACCACGCCCGGCCGGACTTCCTTATTCTTACAGTATTGGAGATGGGGAGTCACTCTACTACTAAGCTCACCCCCAGATCTTTGGCTATTTTGAGACAATGTCTTGTTAAGCTGCCCAGGCTGAACTCAAACTTGTGACCTTCCTACCCTAGCCTTGTGAGTAGCTAGGATTACAGGCTTGTACCACTGTGCCCAACTCTTTTTTTTTTTTTTTTTTTTTTTTTGTCTTTTTCGTTTTTATCGGTACCAGGGATCGAACTCACGACTGCCTGCTTGCAAGGCAGGTGCTTATGCTGCTGAGCTAAATCCCCAGCCCCCTGTGCCCAACTCTTATTCTTGCTTTACAATGCATGGTATGGAACATAGCGTATGGGTACACAGTGATTACCCCATAATCAATTAGCCAATGTGCTCATGATGGACACATGGTTGGCTCTACTCTTCCGCTGTTGTAAACAATCTCATGCTAAATAACCATGTACACAGTTGGAAGCAGGTTCACTTAGGCAGGGTGTGGGGAAGGCTTTAGAAGAGGCTCTAGATGGGAAATGAGCCTAGGAAAGAACTCAGTTACCTGTCCCAGCCTGGCCTAGCTCATCTTCCTCTAATTTTGCACCCTCTTGGCTTCTTCTTCTTCTTCTTGTCTCTTCCTCTCCATCCTGAGCTCCTGGTATTGCCAGAGAGGAAGGGTGAGGCTTTCACGCCTTTCACGCCTGGGCAGCATCAGCTTGTACTGGCTGGGGGACCAGGGCGCCTTGGAGAGGAGGATCTTGGGTACCGGGCTGCTGATACTGTCCCTGGGCTGTAGCCACTGAGAGAACATACCCTGAGGGCTGTAGGGGACAAAGACTTGGGAGCCCCTGGAGACCACTTGGGGGGGCTGTGGAGACAGGGGAGGAGGTGGGGCAGTACCTAACAGCTCTGGCACAGACTTGCTTCGGGTGCCCAGTGTGGGAGGATGGTCAGGACACAGACTGTGGCAGGCAGTGGCAAGGAAGGGACTAGCGAGGCTGGTAGTGATGGTCACAAAGTGGTCCAGGACACCCCCTTCCTGAGGACACTGGGCAAAGGACATACTCAGGGCGGCCTGCAACCTTTCTAGGAAGGATGGGGGAGCCTGAGCCTGGGCCTGAGCCACAAGCCCGGGCAAGGCTGGCCACTCTAGCTTGAAATGCTGGCTGAGCTGTTCTGCACAGGGCCGCTGCAGCAGCTGCCGGATCCTCCACACGACGGCAAAACTGTCAGTCAGCAGGGCCCATTCCAGGGCTGTCTTGCCTCGGACAGGATCCACAGAGGTCAGATCAGCGCCTGGAGGGGGCACAGAGTGATGAGGGGCAGGATTTGGGAAGGGGTAGATGGTCTGTAGCAGGAGGACTGGCTCAGGTTGGCTTCCAAATGAGAGTCTGAGCATGAGAGGCCAGTACTGCAACCTCCTCTTGACAAAGGAAGAGATTGACATCTAGCCAGAGAGAGGCTGCAAGAGTCTCTTGTGGGTCTCCAACCCCGAGGAGAGTAGGAGTCTCCTGAACCCAGGAGCTGATAGAGGAGTGAAGGCCTGTGCCCATTGGCCAAGTGCAGGAGAGAAGTCAGCGTGTCCCCTCTCTGGTTTATCTCTTTATTTGTGGCAGGAGACACAGTCACTCTGATATAAAGAAGAGGTGTAGACTCCTTCCCTTCTCACCCCAAACTCAGTTGGGTGGGGAAGGGTAAGATGGAGGTTGAGATCCCCCAAAGGGCAGCCTACTGGAGGTATAGTGAGGGTATACAACTCCACAGTGTGGTCTCCACCCTGAATAACTCCTGGAGGCCCTGCTAGAGGTCAGAGCTGGAGGTCAGCTCAGAGAAGGCCAACACCTTTGCCATGCTGGTGAGACCAAAGAGGAAATCCATGTGTCCAGGCTCCCTCAGCCAGTGGCAAGGCCAAGACTAGAACCCAAGGGTCTTGTTCCAAATACCAGCCTTCTTTGTCTTCAGTTTTACAGCTGATCTGAGTTACTCTTCCAGACTTTCCTTTCTGGGCCTTTCAAAGACAGAGCCATCAATAGCTGGACCTTGTTGATGGTGAGAAGCCTGAGGTATGCCCCTTCTCCAGGAAGCCAACCTAGACTGATCCTCATGTCCATCTCTCCCCTCTCTACAATAAATAATGACTGACTTAGGTGTAGTGGGGAGGCTTGGGGAAGAGACTGGAGGCCACGCACCCAGTCCAGGCCCCATGCACCTGCCATGAGAAGAGTGGCCACACATTCAGAGCGGTCTCGTATGGCAGCCTTCATCAGCGCTGTGAGCCCCCGCTGGTCCCGGCGCTCCAGATCCAGGCCGGAGAAGTAGTTGAGCAGGAGACTCACCAGAGGCACGTGGCCTGCATGGCAGGGAGGGCAGAGTTTGGCTCCAAATGATGGGACTCCAAGCCCACCCTGTGCCTGACACTGCAGAGCCTGGCATGGAGGAAATGTGGACAGTCAGGGCTGCAGCTCTAGTGGTTGATGGAGGGTAGGGTTTGGCAACCTCTCACCTGCTTGGACAGCCAGCATAAGGGCCGTGTCCCCATCTTTGTCCTGCTGGTTCACATCCAGGAAAGGGCAGCGGCTAAGCAGGGCCACGATACTCTCGAAGCCTCGGTAGCATGCAACCATGAGGCCTGTCTGAAGGTGAGGCAACTCAGTCCCTACCTTCCTTCAGGGTTTCCCTAAGGACCCTGGGCCTCTATGCTCACACCTGTCCCAGGGTATGTCCCAGCACTGTGAACACCACCCTCACCCATTCCTTTGTTCTAAGGATCCAGCCAATGCTAACTGATACTGGCACTCTTGGACCCAGGGTAAGACAGTGAGGTGGGGAGAAAGAGCTGCCCTGTTGCCTCACCCTCCCATTGCTGTCTACTTGAGTGGCCTCCTCTGGGGATATTCCAGCATCCAGCACAGCTTGGAGCTTGGCAGGGTCATTGTGGGCACAGGCCAAGTACAGGGCCCCCATCCTGCAGCCTAGGTCAGGCATCTCCTGACCAGGGCAGGACAGTGCCTCAGACATGTCCAGCCCTCTTCCTTCTCCTCCTCTTGAGGGCAGCTCCTCCTCTTCCAGGATGAGGCCAGAAAGCAAATCCTTCTTCACATGGCTGGCATCTAGGACAGAATAGAGAGGTGGGTGTCTCCCTGGATCCTGGGTGGGGTGCCCACAGCTGTAAGCCTTGCCCAGGAAAAGCCTTTCTCCTGGCAAGTGCCTCACTTGGTGGAAGACCGGGAGCCCAGAGAGAGCAGAGTGTCCCGTTCTTTAGGGCTCCAATGAGGTTCATAGCAGGGGCCTCACCTGGGATTAGGTAAAAATCTCCAAGAGGTGGTCATCACCAGGCCCAGAGCAACCCCCCAGCTGCCTGGGAGCACGCTTAGCGGTCTCTGGAGTGGCCAGAAGGACTGTCCTCTCCGGAAGCAATGCGGGAAACAGATGGCTGGACTTTCTTGGAAAGAGCTGCTGCAAACTCCCTGGGGCTGAGCTGGGTCAAGCGGGTTAGGAAGGGATTGGGGACTGGAGAGGAGGGTGCTGTGGGTCTGGAGTTGATCAAGAAGCTTCCAAGATCCTGCCAGACAGGCTGTGCCTGACAGCTCCTCCCAGCTGGCAGCGCTGAGTAGCCCTGGCCTTGTCCTCCTTTGGCCTCTTTCATCCTTTTCTGCTGTTTTGCAGGGGGAAGCACCCTTCTCCTATCTGCCTGTAAGAATTTGAAGCTGCCTTTTTTTGGGTGAAGTGGGGGTTGGGGAGGGGGCAGGGAAGAGAGGGGTGTGAGCGTAGGAATCTCATTAAATTGGAGTTGGGGGGCAACCCACTCGGGACTCCTTCTGTCTCTCTTCAGATGGAAGCTTTCAGATAGATAGATAGATAGATAGATAGATAGATAGATAGATAAATTGGAGTAGAGATTCACAGGACAACTGTAGGGTAAGGCCCTGTTTTTTAGATCCTGGGAAATCAAAATATAAATTTTCAATTTAAAAGCTTCGAGAAAAAGAAAAATAATGCCTAGAAATGTGGGGTATGTTGGCACTCACCTGTAATCCCAGTACCTGGGAGGCTGAAGCAAGAGGATCCCAATGAATTTGAGGCCAACCTGGGCCATATAGTGAAACCTTGTCTCAAAACGTAAAAAAAAAAAAGTCTACAAATTGTGATGTATTCAATTTAATGGATTAATTTTGGTGTGGTAATTAAATATGAAATATTTAAATTAAACCATTAATAATAGGTTGTTTTCAGATTAACATTAAATTTAATGAAGTAGGGGCCGGGGATTTTGCTCAGGGGCATAAGCACCTGCCTGGCAAGTGCGAGGTCATGAGTTCAATTCACGATTCTGAAAAAAAAAAAAAAAAAATTGGATGAAGTAGACCTAAGGTATAGAAAATTGAGCCAGTTGTAGTGTTCCATTTGAATTACGTAGGACTCTTTTCTTGGGTTTTGTTGTTGCTATGGCCTTGATTTGATTTGATTTGGTTTGGTTTTTTGTTTTTGTTTTGTTTTTTAATCAGTACCAGGGATCTAACTCACAACCACGTGCTTTCAAGGCAGGCGCTTATGCCACTGAGCTAAATCCCCAGCCCCTGGCTTGGTTTTTTTAAGATAATAACTCACTTTGTAATCCAGTTGGCCTTGAACTTGCTTAGGCTGGCTTCAAATTTACAATCCTGTGTCAGCCTCCTGTGTGCTATGATTCCAGGTGTGAAGCACCATGCCTGGCTTATTGTTTTATTTTATTTTATTTTATTTCCCTTTTATCTTTGATCCCCATAGCCTTTGTCTTCTTCACTTTACCAGTTATTTATATAATAACCTTAAAATACACATTGTAGGGGCTGGGGATTTAGCTCAGCAGCATAAGCGCCTGCCTTGCAAGCAGGCAGTCGTGAGTTCAATCCCTGGTACCGATAAAAAGGAAAAAGACAAAAAAAGAAAAAAAATACACATTGTATCCTTCCATCAAAAGAGGTAGTGTGGATTTGAGTATGTTTTCTTTTTTCTCTTTCTTTCTTTCTTTTTTCTTTTGTTTTGTTTTCAGTTTTGTGGTTGTTTGAGACATGGTCTGTCTCACTATGTAGCTCAGGCTGGCCTCACTCTCATGGCAATCTTTCTGCCTCCACCTCCAGAGTGCTGGGATTACAGGCTGGTGCCACAACGTTCAGCCAATGTTTGTGCTTCCAACTAACTTGTTAGCAATTGTGCTACAGAGCTCCTTCTGTACGAGTTTTTCCCCCAATACTGTGTGTTGAGCATCCATCCTGCGGCTTCACGCATAGCCATGAGGAACATGTCTGCTTGTGGTAGCATGGTGTCTGGTGTAGATCTGCGGCTCCACATCAGTCCAGTGGGGCTTTTAGTGTTTCTTCTAAGCTGCAGAAGCTGGAAAACTAGACAGCACTTCCTATGTTTCCTTGAGCTAAGAATCTGTGGCTTGAGCCCTGCCTTTGCGCAAGACAAAAATTTGGAACAAAGCATGAGACATCCGTTTTGCTGTCACAGATCATGACAGCAGCAGGCAAGCTCTGGAGCAGCTTCCTGATTCATCAGCTTCCGCAGTAGTGACTTGTTTTTTCAACCACAGGCAGGGCTCATGTGACACTTAAATCTTGGCGTTGTTCCTGACCTAGAGCCCACATTTCCAGCCCTTTGTGTGTAAACTAACCAGGTTTAGCTTTACTGCTTGCAACTGAACTCTATCTGATGCATATGGCTAAGAAATAAAGGTTTATCTTTAACCCAGGATAAAAATAACCTGTTGGTGTTAGTTCAGCAGCTTGATGTCAGGGCCCTCTTCCCTGGGGTCCTCTTATTTTCCCTCTTAGCCACAGGCCACTACACCTGTCTTGTCAGTGTGTACAAGGAGTCTTGGATTCTGTCGGACACCCGTCCACCATCTCCCTTCTTTCTTATCACTTTTTTTTTTGGTCTTTTTTCTTTTTATCGGTACCAGGGATCCAACTCACGACTGCCTGCTTGCAAGGCAGGCGCTTATGCTGCTGAGCTAAATCCCCAGCCCCTCTTATCACTTTTTAGTAAGGTGGTTGTATAGTAGTGCAATTTTGTCTAGTGGGATGCTAACAGAAGTCCCATGGGTGGGATTCCTGGGGAAACCACTCTCTTTACAGAAGGGAGGGGTGCACTTTTAAATGTCTTTCTTCCTTCTTCTTCTTCTTGAACATTCTTCCTCCAGCGATGGATGACCAGGTGGCCTCCAACTTCCTGCCACTACAAACACAGCTCCGGACAACGCCCCTGTACTTACCTCGCTTCGGATTCACGCAGGGCGTGTCCGAGGTCCCTGCGCTGCAGGCTTATGGTCACACTTGGTGGTATGGTCAGCTTGCTCTCTGTTCTGCGGCGTAGCAACCAACGAGACACACGTTTCCTTTCGTCCTGACCAGCACCCCTCCTTATTCAGTCTTCTAAGTTTTGCCAATGAACAGCGCAGAACCGCAAAGCGATACAGCTATTCAACACTGGACTTTGTGGATTGTGAGCAAGATGAACGCCTCTCCCTGTGCTCTGCTTAGCCCTCCTGGGCGCTAACTGCCTGTTCTGGCCTTTGCTCAGTGTCCTATAGGATTATCATCTCTTTAAATAATAATCTTTATTTCTAAAAGTCTTTCTTATTGTTTCACATCTTATTAGTGCATACGGGCTGTACAGATCAGTGGGTTTTTCTCTGCCAGATTTGTACATGTACGTAATGTGCTTTGGTCATTCTGCCCTCTCTTTCACCCCTTTGGTCCACCTCCCCCCAGCTTCACCTTCAGGGGATTTCAATGTGTAGTATTTTTCTTAGTGTGTGTGTGTGTGTGTGTGTGTGTGTGTGTGTGACAGAAAGAGAGAGAGACAGAGACACAGAGAGAGAGAGACAGAGAGACAGAGAGAAAAAGAGAGCGAGCGAGCTCTTTTCATTGAGCTTCATCCCCAGCCTGTTTATTTATGTATGTCGACAAGTGTTGGGAGCCATGGCACTGTCAAGTCATCAGACGCGGTGATTGCGAGGCCTGTGGGAAAGTACAAAAGCCTGGGCTAGATTACCCCTCTCATCGAGCCCGCCTGTGTGGCACCTGTTTCTTATCACCCCACTAAGTTCCCGCCTCACAGGGTAGTCTGCCTAGCTATTAATCCTATATATAGCCAGTGCCTCCACCCCCGAGAGAGAGAGAAGCACGAAAGGAGCCGCGGGGAGCGGACCGGTAGAGGCTTCGGGGCAGACTGAAGCACGGAAGGAGCCGCGGAGAGCGGACCGGTAGAGGCTTCGGGGCAGACTGTATAAGGAGAGAATAAAGAAAAGCCTGACCACCGCCAGACCTTGTCGTGTGTCTTTCCTGCCGGCCGGGAGCGACATCGACAGACAAGGTCTTGCTAAGGTGCTGGATTGCCCTGGCTGGTTTCATACTTATGATCCTACTGCCTCAGCCTCTCAGAGCACTAGAAATCTAGGTGTGTGCCACCACGTCTGGCAGTGTATGACACAGAGCCCTCCAAAAAAGGGATACACACTTCAGGACAAGAAAAACTTGTATAAATATTTGAATGTTAAAATTATTGAGACGTGATGAGATTAACACCATTACAAGAGGTGCTCAGAGTGGTGGCCATCAGTTTCCAGGCATTTATTAGTGTGGTGAGCTGCTGCTGGGGTAAATTTGGTCACTGAGATTGCTGCCCATGCATTTTCAATTTCTTCTCTAAGACCCGGCAGTGTAGTGGGTTTTCTGTGAAATATGACATCTCTAAGCACCCCCAACCCTACATAATAACACCCTCTGTTAAAAAACTCACAGTATTTTTCTTTTACTAAAGTATGGATACATTTTTGGGCATACTTTGATCACATTTATCCCCCATTAACTGCCCTTACACCCCCCTTCCTCTTCTCCTTATTCCCTTTCTCTTGTCTATATTCTTCCTTTTACTTTCTTGTCACCTTTTCTCGAGTCCACATATTAGGGGAAATATGAGATATTTGTCTTTCTGGATCTGGCTTATTTTGTTCAATGTCATGATCTCCAGATCCATCCATTTTCCTACAAATGACAGAATTTCATTCTTATTCCTGGCTGAATAGTACCCCATTATGTATTACCTAACATATTTTCTGTAACCATTTATCTGTAGATAGGTACTTAGGCTAGTTCCATAACTTGGCTATTGTAAATTGTGCCACAATAAACAAAGGTGTACAGGTAAATGTATAATATGTTGACTTTAATTGCTTTGAGTATATTTCAAGGAGTGGAATAGCTGAATAAAATGGTATCTTTATTTTTACTTCTTTTGAGGAACCTCCATAATGATCTCCATAGTGTCTGTGCCCATTTACATCCGGTCAGTAGTACAGAAGTGTCTTTTTTTCCACGTTCTCACCAGCACCTATTATTTATTGTATTCTTGATGACAGCCATTATGACTGGGGTGAGATGGAATGTCACCATAGTTTTGATTCATAT